CCCCCTTTCCCCCCCTTTCCCCCCATTTCCCCCCCTTTTCCTCCCTTTTCTTCCCTTCCTTCCTTCCTTCTTTCTTTCCTGGAGTCCTTCCTTCCTTCCCTCTTGTTTTCCTTCTCGGCACCATTCATTTTCTTCATTTCCCGTTCCGTTCTCACCCCCAGGGATATGGAGGGGCCCTCAGGTTGCACCCCACAGTGCTGTGCTGGCGGCACAGGAACAGCCCCAGACCCTTTTTGGGGGGTGGGTGTTCATTCCTGGGGGGCTGTTGCAGGGGCTCCAGCTGATGTCCCAGCCGAGGCTGGCCTGGATCCAGGCTCAGGAGAGGGGGACGAGAAGAAAAAGCGCCGGGGACGGAAGAAGAGCAAGCTGGAGGACATGTTCCCCCCGTACCTGCAGGTGGGATGGATGGGGAGGGCTGGGGAGGGGGATGGATGTGGGGACCCCCCAATGCTGACGGAACCCCCCTGTTCCAGGAGGCATTTTTTGGGAAAGCACTGATGGATCTGAGCCGGAAGGCGCTGCTGGCAGCAGGCGGGGTGGGGGACGCGGCTGCCCGCCCCTCCTTGGGCCAGGGTGCCCCAAGGCCCAAGGGGGACCTCAACCTCGCTGGGGCACTGCAGGGGAGTACCCCAGACAGGAGGGAGACCCCCACCCATCCCCGAGGTGAGTGTGGCCAGGACTGGGTCTGCAATCCAAACCTGGCTGCTGTCCAGGGTGGGGTTTTCAGGGGTTAGTGGGGGGTTGTTGTGGGTCTCTAATGTGGTTGGAGGTCTCTGGACTTGGCTGGGGGACCCCTGGGCTTGTTGGGGGTTGTCCCTGGGGTTGTTGCGGGTCCCTGTGTTTCTTGGAAGTTGTTGGGGTCCCCAGGGTAGCTGGAGGTGGCTGAGGGGTTGTTCAAGGTCCCTGAGGTTGCTGGGGGTTTTGTGGGATATTGAAGGTTGCTGGGGTTGGTGGGGGACTCCCATTGTGAGCAGCTGCTGCGGACACCGAGGCTCGCTGGAGAATGCCGAGGACTGTGGGGGGCTGCCATTGCCATTGAGGGGAGGAGGAGGGCCCTGGGGGTCGGCGGGTTCTGACCCTGCTCACTGAGTGCTGGGGTACCGTGCAGGGGATGACAGCACTGACGGCAGCGCCGCCGCTCCCGATGACGATGGCAAGGACGACGCGAAGGGCGAGGACCTGGGTGAGGCCCGGGGACCCCTATGGGACCCCCAACAGCCGAGTCCTCCACGGGGCATAGGGCGCCCACAACCCTCGAGATGGGACTCTATGGTTGAGGGGTGCGCTCTAGGCAGGGCTGAGCTCTATGGTTCCGTGCCCTGTCAGTCCCGTGATGCCGGTGACCATAGAGTGGCGCCTAGAGCGCCCCCGCGTGGCGCGGCGTCCCTGGAGGACCGAGGGACTCCTGTCCCTTGTTGGGTGATGGGGGCTGCCCCGTGGGGGTCCCCAGCCCTGAGGGCGCTTCCTGATTCTTCCTCACAGGGGCCGACGAGCCGAAGGATTCCCCAGACCGCGGGGACACTGAGAAACCAGCCACCCCGGGCGAGGGAGCGCTAAGCTCCGACCTCGACAAGATCCCCACGGAAGGTGAGAACATCCTGCACCCCCTCTTCTGCCAAAGCAATGGTGCTCCCAGGACCGTGACCCCGAGGTTTCTCCACTTCCCATCAATGTGGTATTTGCACCCAGCTCCTGCTTTTGCCCCTGCAGAGCTGCCCAAGATGGAGAGCAAAGATGTGCAGCAGCTTTTCAAGGATGTGCTGGGTTCAGCGGAGCGTGGGGAGCAGCCCCTCAACTGCGTGGCCGCGGGGATGGAGGCCGGGCAGGACCCCAGCCGAGCACAGCGGCCGTTCCTGCAAGGAGACCTCCAGCTCTCGGGGCAGGGTGGGTGGAGCTGGCAGAACCCCCTGTCATCCAGGAGGTTCCTGGAGTGTGATGAACCCCCAGGGAAGCCAAACTCATAGGGCTGACCTGCTTGGAGAGCAGTGCTGCCTGTGGTATCGAAGAGCCCAGGCTCCTGGGTTTTCCCTGTTGCTCCAGGGGTGAACGTGAGAAGCATTTTGGGGGTTGTGCTGTTGGGAGGTGCTGTTGTTTGACCCCTGGGGCAGGTGCAGGCTTGTGCCCCAGCTTTGCTTTCCCTGCAACCCATCTTTCCCTCACAGGGAGCGTTTCCCTGGGCTCACTCTCCGGATCCGTCTCCTTGGACTCGTACTCGGGGGTCTGCCAGTCGCCGTTCCTTGATAACAGGTACTTGGAGGAGCTGGGGGTCCCCTCCTTGGAGGAACTGAACTGCAGGGTGTTGTGGGACCCACTCTTCCCTCAACAACCTAACAATCTGTGACGCTCCTTTCCACTCAGGGAGCGGAGTGGCTTCTTCAGCCCAGACCACTGCGAGCCCGAGAGCCCCTGGGCCAGCAGCTCGGCCGCCACCACCCCCTCGACCCCCACAACACCCACGACAGAGGGCGAGGGCGATGGGCTGTCCTACAACCAGCGCAGTTTGCAGCGCTGGGAGAAGGATGAGGAGCTGGGTGAGCTCTCCACCATCTCCCCTGTCCTCTACGCCAACATGAACTTCCCCAACCTCAAGCAGGATTATCCAGGTAGGGCTCTGGGGGGGCTGCAGCTGCCCCCTTGGGGTGAGGGTTGGGGGTATGGGTGGAGGGTCCCGTACTTGTTGTATGGGACAAGAACATGGCTGTTGACATCCATAATTGTCCAGGGTGGAGTGCCCTGCTCCCTTTTTTGGGGGAGATCCTGGCTGTTCTGGTACTGAGGTGTTCTCTACAGTGAGCAGGGGATGTCAACTCTTTATCTCCTGGGGACAGGGCTGTCCCTTCACATGAGGGGGGACCCACCAAGGGTATGAGTGGGCTCGTCAGGTCCGGGCTAATGTTGCTTTTCTCCCCTTTATCTGCTCGTACTGGACTCCCAGACTGGTCGAGCCGCTGCAAACAGATCATGAAGCTCTGGAGGAAAGTCCCTGCCACGGACAAAGCCCCATATTTGGTGAGTGCCGGGAGGTCAGTGGGGTGGGGGCCGGGGCGCCGGGGGCTGCAAGTCAGCTGGCTTCGTGTCTTTGTTAGCAAAAGGCCAAAGATAACCGGGCGGCTCATCGCATCAACAAGGTGCAGAAGGTACGTGAGGCGCGGGGAGGTGCCCGGCGGCCCCGGCCCAGCCCTGGGGGACACGGTGTGCCCACCCCAGCCCGTGCCCAAGCCACGGGGAGAGCAGGAGGGCTCCCACAGCACTCACGGCCTGGCTCTCTCTGCAGCAGGCCGAGAGCCAGATCAACAAGCAGACCAAAGGGGAGGGACTGCGCAAGCCTGAGAGGCCCTCGCTGCACCTGCGGATCCCGGTGCCTCCAGGGGCACAGCCCGTCTACATCAGCAGCCCCCCCGCCACCGGCGAGGGCTTCCTGAAGCCCCCAGCGGGTGCCGGAGGGGGACCGGAGTCTCCCAGCGAGCTCTTCCTCAAGCTCCCGCCCCAGTCCCCTGCCCAAGTGCCTTCGCACGATCCCTACGGCGCGGCCCCCGCCTACACGCTGGAGCCCCGCTTCCCCTCGCCCCTGGGCCAGAGCCCCACGTCGGGTGCTGCCTTCCAGCCCTTCCCTGGCCAGCCCCAGCCCCTCACAGCCCCCCGTGCACCCCCTGACTTCCACCCCACCCCACCTGGCACCCCCCGGCACCAGCCTGGCACCCCTGACCCCTTCCTGAAGCCCCGCTGCCCCTCCTTGGACAACCTCTCGGTGCCAGGGAGTCCTGGGGCGCGGCCCCCTGAGGCCCTGCTCTCTCCCCTGCCTTTTGGGGAGCAGAAGAAGGGTCTGGAGGTGAAGAAGGAGGATGGGGGAAGCCTGGGGGTCTGCTCGCCCGGCTACACTTCCGCCATGGGCTACGGGGACTCCCCAGGTGCCCCGCACCTCTCGGCTGCGGAGCTGAAGGCGGCTGACGTCTTCAAAGCCCCCATGACCCCACGGGTCTCTCAGGTAGAGCCGCAGAGCCCGGGGCTGGGGCACCGGCCCCCCGACCCCCATCCCCTGGCCCCCTCGCCCCCCGGCCACCCTGATCTCTACCGTCAGTCACCCTACCTGGACCCCTACTCACAGCCCCCGCTGACACCCCGGCTGCAGCCCTCCGAGGCCTGCTGCGCCCTCCCGCCCCGCTCCCTGCCCTCCGAACCCTTCTCCCGCATCCCCGCCAGCCCCCAGTCCCAATCCAGCTCCCAGTCCCCTCTGACCCCCCGCCCTCTGTCCAATGAAGCCTTCTGCCAGTCCCCCGTCACCCCTCGCTTCCAATCCCCGGATCCCTACTCCCAGCCGCCCTCCCGGCCGCAGTCCCGGGACCCCTTCACCCCCCTGCACAAGCCCCCCCGTCCACAGATGCCGGAGCCGGGGTTCAAGTCAGTGGGGGCGGCCGGTGGAGGTTTCGGGGGCGCCCCGGCAGGTGACCCCCATGCCAAGGCACCGGCTGGGCCACAGCCGCCCTTCGCCCGCTCGCCTGGTGCCAGCGTGTTCCCGGGGAGCCAGCCCCCCATGCGCTTCACCTTCCCCCCGGCCGTGTCGGAGCCGCTCAAGGGCTCCCCGTCCCACCAGCCCCATGGGATCAACAGCCATTATGGCTCTGGGAAGCCCCAGAGCTCGGCCTACGCCTCGTCCCCCAGCTTCCACCAGGCCAGCAGCCCGCTGGGCCCTGGCACTGCCGCCCCCGACTCGTACAGCCTGTCGCCCCTGCGGCCCCCATCGGTGCTGCCGCCGCAGCCCTCGGCCCCCCCACAGCAGCAGGACCCTTCTGGAACCTTCCTGCCCCGCACTGCGCTGGCACTGACGGCTGACAAGAGGGAGGAGGTGGCTGCGGGGCTCTCAGCACCCCCAAACCGGGAGCTGGCAGAGCTGCCTGGTGGCCAGGACGGGGCTCTCGGCACCATGAGCCAGTCGGAGCTGGAGAAGCAGCGGCAGGTGAGGTCTCTCCCAGGATCTGGCTGTGTCCATTCGGGTTTGGGAGGGAATGAAAGGGAAAAACTGGGACTGGAGGCATCGATGACTGCTCCATACGTGGTTTGTTTTGCTGGTTTTTGTTTTGGTCTTGTTGCCGCTCTCGGTTCTAACACTGAATTCTTCTCAGCGCCAGCGGCTCCGGGAGCTGCTTATCCGCCAGCAGATCCAGCGGAACAGCCTTCGGCAGGAAAAGGAGAGCGCGGCTGCCGCCGCCTCCTCCTCGCCAGCCGGCTGGGCCCCGGAGGGCGGCGGGCAGAGCTTCGAGCTGAGCCGGGGCATGGCCCCGTACCAGCCGGCACAGGTGGGAGAGCTGGGGCATGGTGTGCATGGAGGGATGTGGGTGATGGAGGGGCACGGTGTGCATGGAGGGATGTGGGTGATGGGGATGTGGGTGATGGAGGGGCACGGTGTGCATGGAGGGATGTGGGTGATGGAGGGCACGGTGTGCATGGGGGGGTTGTGGGTGATGGAGGGGCACGGTGTGCACAGGAGGGGATGCAGCTTATGGAGGGACACGGTGTGAATGGGGGGAATGTGGGTGATGGAGGGGCACGGTGTGCACACACGGGATGCGGGTGATGGGCATGGTGTACATGGGAAGGGATATGGGTGATGGAGGTACACGGTGTGCATGGGGGAAATGTGAGTGATGGAGGGGCACGGTGTGTATGGGGGGATGTGGGTGATGGAGAGGTGACTCTCTCGTTGCCTTCCTTCTTCCAGGACAAGGCTCTTCTCGGGACTCTGGCCACGGCAGCCGGCGCTGGGAAGCTGCCGGGCTCCGTCATGGTGCAGGCAGCGTTTGCGCAGGACGAGCGGCTCTCCCGGCCCCCGCCGGCGGCCACGCCAGCCATGCTGGACATCAGCGGGCGGTGGGTGCCCCCTGACAGGGCGGTGGACTCAGCATGCACGGGTGGGAGCCAGCAGATACCGCCCTGGGAGCAGGGGTACCCCCAGCTCGTGGGCATCGCTCCGGAGGGAGGGGATGGCTTTGGGTTTTTGGGTGCCCAGCGCAGTCTGAGGGGGATGGGATGCAGTGCGCTGGGGCTGTACCGAGCTGGTGCCAACATCATGGTGTCTTCCAGGGCGGCAGTGGGGCCCCCCCAGGCCTTCTACCCCCGTGGGGTCTTTCCATCGCCATCCCCGCAGCAGCAGCAGCAGCACCTCTGGCAGCAGCAGCAGCAACAAGCGGCCGTGGCGGCCCTGCGGCTCCCTGTCACCTCCCGCTTCGCCCCCCCGGCCGCCGGGACCCCCATGGGCAGCCTGGGCACCCGCCTGCCCACCCCTGCCGAGGCCGTGCCCCCCTCACCAGCTGCCCTGGGCGCTCCCTTCATCGAGCTGAGACACAACGTGCAGAAGGGACCTGGGGGGGTCGTGGGGTCTCCCTTTGTCCCCCAGGCACCCCGGCCTCGCTTCTTCCTTCCTGGGGAGGAGGGCACCCCCCAGGCCCTGTGCACTCCCGTCATGCCCATGCAGGCGCTGCCATCCCAGAAGGTTCCGGCACCGCTGCCGCCCGCGTCCCCGCAGGGAGCCGAGATGGGCAACAGCCACCAGCAGCCCCACGCCAAGGCGGCACCGCCGCTGCCAGCCCCCACCCTGGAGCTGCAGCAGCACATCCCCCCACGCCCGCTGTCCTCCGGTGCCACCCTCCGCCCCGAGGCTCCCAAGGATGGCCCCGCTCTGGACCCTGCGCCGGCCCCAGGGAAGAGCCACCTGGGCCTGGAGGGAGGACGGCTGCCCTGCGAGGTGCCCGTGGAGCCTGACTTGGATGACGACTTCGGCTCCCACAAGGACTTGGAAGATGATGATGATTTGGCCAACCTTAGCCTGGATCCAGATGTGGCCAAAGGGGACGATGACTTGGACAACTTGGACAGTTTGGAGACAGCAGACCCCCACCTTGATGACCTGCTGAATGGCGATGAGTTCGACCTGCTGGCTTACACTGATCCCGAGCTGGACACGGGTGACAAGAAGGACATCTTCAACGAGCACCTGCGCCTGGTCGAGTCGGCCAACGAGAAGGCTGAACGTGAGGCCCAGCTCAAGACAGAACCACCGGCGGCCACCTTGAAGCTCTCTGACCCTGGGGACAGCAAAGATGTGACCCCATCTGTGGAGGATCAAGAGGTGCCCAAGGAAGGACTGGTGTCTGGGATGGGCTTGGGACTCTCGGCCTGCCCCACGGGCACTGTGCTGGCCCCCGACCCGACTTTCAAGGCGCAGGGCGTGGAGGCGAAGGCCGGCTCGCTGCCCACCGATGTCAAGCCCAAGCTGGAGGACGGCTGCCTGAAGACCTCACCCTGCCAGTTCACCACCACTGGTCCCGAGCGCCTCCCGGTGCCGGTCAAGTCAGAAGCACTGCAGGGCACGGATAAAATCTCTGCCTCCCTGGGGCTGAGCGTCAAACCTGGCCAGACCCTCCTGAGCTCCAGCACTGGCCCCACTCGCCTCAGCCTGACTCAGTTCTCCAACAGTGGCCACACTGGTGTTCCCATGCTGGAGAAGGACCCCTACACTGGCCCTGGTCGTGGGCTGGCAACTGCCCAGCTGGGTGGCCAGAGCAACCCTTTGCTGGAGAAGTTTGAGCTGGACAGCGGAGCCTTGGGGCTGGGCAGTGCCCGGCACTCGCCGGCGGATGACTTGGACAAGATGGAGAGCTCGTTGGTGGCCAGCGAGCTGCCGCTGCTCATCGAGGACCTCCTGGAGCATGAAAAGAAAGAGCTGCAGAAGAAGCAACAGATGTCGGCCCACCTGCCCCGTGGCACCCCCCACCTCCCAGCCCCAGGGCACCCCATGCTGCACACAGGGGCATCTGGGCAGCCTCCCGAGGGGCAGCCACCCCGTCTGGGCACCCCACAGACTCCCCTCCAGCTGGGGCTGGTGGCCCGGCCACCGCTGCTGCCACCGCAGCCCCCCCGGCTCAACGCACCCCAGCAGGGCCCAGCTCTGGCCTCCCACATGGGCATGGGCTCTGGGCAGCCCCACGTGCTGTCATCCCCCCACGGGGTGCAGGTGGCCCTGGGGCAGCCGCAGCAGACCCAGCAGCAGGTGCTGGTGCAGAAGCCGATGGCCGGGGTGCAGCCCCCCTCCCTGGGCCTGAAGCCCCCCCAGCTCGTCATGCAACAGCAGTTGGCCAACAGCTTCTTCCCGGACACAGGTAGGGGCTGCGGATGATTGTTCTGGGAGCACAGAGCCCTTTTGAGTGGGGGACAGAGGGCTGAACGTGCTGTGGTCTCTGTCCCAGCAGACCTGGACAAGTTTGCGGCCGAGGACATCATGGACCCCATTGCCAAGGCCAAGATGGTGGCGCTGAAGGGCATCAAGAAGGTGATGGCTCAGGGCAGCATCGGGGTGGCCCCAGGCATGAACAGGTAACAGACACGGGGATCTGGGTGGCACAGGGTTTGGCAGGCAGCTTTGGCTCTGGCTCACACCCCATCTCTGTGTGTGTCCCCCAAAGGCAACAGGTTTCCCTGCTGGCCCAGCGGCTCTCGGGGGGCCCAGCTGTCTCTGAGATGCAGAACCACTTGCTTGCAGGGAGCGGGCAGGTGAGTGGGGTATCCAGAGGGCTTTCAGGTGTCTCTTGGGGCTGCTAGGCCAGAACTGGTGGGTTTGTGGCTCTCTGAGGGGGTGGGGGCTGTGGGGAGAGGACAGAAATCCACAGCACGTGTCCTGACCGCTCCCCTTTCTGCCAGGAGCGGAGCACAGACCCGACCCAGGCTCGCCCCAACCCACCCACCTTTGCACAGGGCGTCATCAGTGAGTAGTGACACGGCAGGGCCGGGGTGGTGCGGGACAGGGGTCACCCTGCCCCTGGGGGCTGCGGTCTCCAGTGACCCCGGGGTCTCTGTTTACCCGGGGTCCCCACTGATCTGAGCCCACTCCCCATCCCACAGACGAGGCTGACCAGCGGCAGTACGAGGAGTGGCTGTTCCACACGCAGCAGCTGCTGCAGATGCAGCTGAAGGTGCTGGAGGAGCAGATCGGGGCGCACCGCAAGTCCCGCAAGGCGCTGTGTGCCAAGCAGCGCACGGCCAAGAAAGCCGGGCGGGAGTTCCCCGAGGCTGACGCCGAGAAGCTGAAGCTGGTGACGGAACAGCAGAGCAAGATCCAGAAGCAGCTGGACCAGGTAGGACCCTGCATGTGGGTGCCAAGGGGATGTCCCCAGTGCTAATGCTTCACTGTTCCCAGTGCCAGCCTCACTATTCCCAACTAACACTGTCCATCCCCAGTGCAAACGTGCTGTCCTCAGAGTAAAGGTGCCATTTCTGGCTCTACTGCCCTCTGTCCCCAGCACTAGTGCTGTGGCAGTCCTGCTGTTAATTCCCTGCTGTTCCTGGTGCTAACACTGCCATTCCCAGTTCTGATGTCCCACTATTCCTGGTGCTAATGCTGTGCCGTTCCCAGCACTAATGCCCTGCTGTCTGCATGTCTGCAGCACTGATGCTCCACTGCCCCCAGCATTTATCCTGTGCTGTTCCTAGTGCTGATGCCTTACTGTCCCTGCAGGAAAGCTGTGCCATTTCCAGTGGTGGTCATGTGCCATTTCTAGCACTGTTGTGCCAGTCCTGATGCTAATGCTCCCCTGTCCTGGTCACTAAAGCTGTGCCAATCTCAGTGCTGATTCCACCATCCCCGGTGCTAAGGCTGTGTTGTCCCCCTGTCCCTAATGGACATTCCTGGAACTAAAACCCTGCCATTCCTGGCGCTGACACCCTTCTGTCCCCATCAGGTGCGGAAGCAGCAGAAGGAACACACCAACCTCATGGCTGAGTATCGCAACAAGCAGCAGCAGCACCAGCACCAGGCCTCGGCCGTGATGGCCCTGAGCCCCTCGCAGAGCCCCCGCCTCATGTCCAAGCTCCCGGGACAGCTCCTCTCGGCACACGGTGTGCAGCAGCCCGGGGGAGCCCTGGTGGGAGCGCAGGGCCTCGGGCAGCAGCCGGGGCAGCCTGGGGGGCTGCGCCTGCCCCAGAGCGGTGTGTCCATGGCTGTGCAGCAGGGCCTGTCCTTCATGGGGCAGCAGCCCGTGGGGAACGCCCCAGGACCTGGCTCCTCCGGCACCTTCTTCAGCGGGAACCCTGCTCTGCGTGGGCTGGCCGCTGACAGCCGCCTGATGCAGGAGCGGCAGCTCCAGAGGATGCAGCTGGCACAGAAACTGCAGCAGCAGAACATGCTGGGACAGGTGTCACTGCAGCAGCAGCCAGGTGTGATGGGACAGGCGGCAATGCAACAGCCAGGTGTGATGGGACAGGTGTCGCTGCAGCAGCCAGGTGTGATGGGACAAGCCGCCATGCAGCAGCAGGGCGTGATGGGACAAACATCAATGCAGCAGCCGGGTGTGATGGGACAGGCAGCCATGCAGCAATCAGGTGTGATGGGACAGGCATCCATGCAGCAATCAGGTGTGATGGGACAGACGTCACTGCAGCAATCAGGTGTCATGGCACAAGCATCAATGCAGCAGCAGGGCGTGATGGGTCAAACCTCCATGCAGCAGCCAGGTGTGATGGCACAGGCGTCGCTGCAGCAGCCAGGTGTGATGGCACAGGCATCCATGCAGCAGCCAGGTGTGATGGGACAGACGCCGATGCAGCAGCAGGGTGTGATGGGTCAGGCATCCATGCAACAGCCGGGTGTGATGGGACAGAGCTCGATGCAGCCACAGAGCATCATGGCCCAGACGTCCATGCAGCAGCCAGGTGTGATGGGACAAGCTTCAATGCAACAGGCAGGTGTGCTGGCCCAGACATCACTGCAGCAGCCAGGCATGATGGGCCAGGCATCCATGCAGCAGCCAGGTGTGCTGGGCCAGGCCCCAGTGCAGCCAACAGCTGTGCCAGGGCAGCCTGGCTTGCTGGGGCAGCAGCAGCAGCAGCCCGCAGCCCCACAGCCCGGCACAGGGGCTCAGCCCATGGTGCCGAAGCAGCCGGGGCTGCTGGGCAGCCAGCAGAGCCTCCTAGTGCAGCAGCTCTCGCCCCAGCAGCAGCCAGGTGTGCTGGGCCACGCACCAGGGCTGCAGCACCAGCCTGTGCTGGGCCACCCCCCACCCCAGCGCCAGGTCGTCCTGGCTCCCCACCAGCAGCGGGTGCTGGGCTCGCCCCAGCTGACGCCGCAGACTCCGGGGATGCTGAGCCACCGGCTCGTGCTATCCCAGCAGCTGGGGCAGTCTCGGGCGCTGTTGGCCCCGCAGCAGCAGCAGCAGCAGCAGAACTCAGCGGCTGCCCAGCCAGGTCTCCTGGGGCTGGGCCAGGGACAGCCCTCGATCCAGCACTTTCCGCAGCACGGGGCGGGGGGCCAGGCCCCCTCTGTGCTGCACCTGAGTCAGGGAATGCAGCCGGCCCCGGCGGTCCTGGCTGCCAAGGACCAGCCCGCAGGGATGGACGGCAGCGCCCTGCACGCTGAGGGCAGCGAGAGCGGGGGGCAGCTGCACGGGGAGCAGCAGGGAGCCCTCAACCCCCCGGGGCTGGGGGGCCCGGAGCCCCCGGCCTCCAAGCACCAGGCTGAGCTGGGGCAGGGCCAGCAGCTCCTCTTAACCTCCCCACAGCCAGGTGTCCTGCGGGCAGCCCCCGGGCAGCCGGGTGCCCTGCTCGCCCCGCCGCTGCAGAGCCCTGGGGCTGTTCACCCGGAGCTGTCCCAGCAGCACGGGGAAACGGCCGGGGTGGCGGAGCAACCGCTGGGCTGTGGGACAGGCCCAGCTCAGGCCATGGTGCCGGCACCGCGGCCCCCGGAGCAGCCAGGCAAGGGGGTGGCAGGGGCCCTGCCAGGGCAGCCACAGCCCCCGCGGCTCCAGAGCCCCGTTCAGCACAAAGTAGGGCCGGCACCGGGCACGGCCGCTCTCCCCCCGGCTCTCCTGGGGCAGGTGCCGGGGCCGATGATGGGCCAGATCCGGGCGCAGCTCCAGGGTGTCCTGGCCAAAAACCCGCAGCTGCGGCATCTGACGCCGCAGCAGCAGCAGCAGCTCCAGGCCCTCCTGGTGCAGCGGCACCAGCAGAGCCTGCTGCAGCAGAACCAGGCGCTACGGACCCCTAGCCCATTCCCCGGGCAGGCCCCGGACTACAGCTTGCCTGCTGCCCGCCAGCCCCCTCGTCCCATGGGGTCTCTTTTCCAGCCCCGGCCCGGTGCCCCAGCAGAGGCACAGAGCAGCTCTGCCACCGAGCTGGGGCGGGCGCTGCCAGGGCAGCCCCCCCAGCAGCCCCTGGCTGAGCTGGTTCAGGCAGCTCTGGCTGCCCGTGGCCCCCAGCCCGGACTCATTCGCCTCCCCACGCCACCAGCCCCCTCGCCCCTGGGCTGTGCCCCCCAGCACCTGGCCAGCCCTGAGCAGAACCCCCAAGAGCCAAAGAAGACGTCACCGGGAATCCCGGCCTTGGCCCCCAGCCCGGCGGCACCCACAGAGCCAGGGCTGACTCCTACGCCGAGCGGTGCCCTCCCTGACCCAGCACACGGCCCCTGGGACCCCGAGGCGCCTGGGGTGGACCCAGCTGACCCTGGTGAGACCCACATCAACGGGGCTGCGCCAGAGGGGGCCCCTGCGGCAGGCGAAGCTCCCCGGGTTTTGGTGAAGCAGGAGCCGAAGGAAGAGGCAGCGGCAGCGGCACAGTGTGAGGTGGATGGAGATGAGACAGCAAAACTGGACGCCAATGGGGACCCTGGGGACAGCCAGGCCAACAGCCTGCTGGCCCCGGGTGGGCGCTCCGAGGCCGGGCACCTGCTGCTGCAGAAGCTACTGCGGGCCAAGAACGTGCAGCTGTCAGCGCAGAGCCCAGGCGAGCTCAACGGGCACTTGGAGAACCGGAGCGCTGGGACAGAGCCACGGCCGCAGTCACTGCTGCTGGGCCGGGAGGTGAGCAGGATGGGCTGGGCTGGGGGTGTGATGGGTGAGGGGCTGTGCTGGCACAACTCACGCCCCCTTTTCCCTCCCCAGGACCCCTCCATTGCCAGGAAGCCGGCACCCACCAAGCCTAAGCGGGTGCAGAAAGGCAACGAGCGCATCCCAGCGTCCCGCAAGAAGCTGCGGAAGGACGAGGGGCTGCGTCCTGGTGAGGCCCTCATGAAGCAGCTGAAGCAGGTATGGCCGTGGGCTGGGGTGTGGCAGAGGGCTTCCTTTTCCCCTGTCCCCTCCTCATCACTCTGTCCCCAGGAGCTGTCACTGCTGCCGCTGACGGAGCCGACCATCATGGCCAACTTCAGCCTGTTCGCGCCCTTCGGCAGCAGCCCCATCAACGGGAAGAGCCAGCTGCGGGGCGCCTTCGGCAGTGCTGTGCTCGACAGTGTCCCTGACTACTACTCCCAGCTGCTCACCAAGGTGAGAGGGGCGTTGTTCCCTGCTGTCCCCCTTATCTGGGGGTCCTGGACCATCCTGCTGTTCTCACCCCACCGTCTTCCCCCAGAACAACCTCAGCAACCCACCCACGCCACCCTCCTCGCTGCCCCCCACACCCCCTCCCTCCGTGCAGCAGAAGATGGTGAATGGTGTCACGGCCCCTGAAGAGCTGGGGGAGCAGCCCAAGGACGCCGACCCAGCCCGCGAGCCCCACGGCCAGAAAGGTGAGCCTGGCTGGCACAGGGGTGGCACAGAATCCCTGCTGCCACCTGTCACTCCCCCCCATGACACCCATCGCTTCTCTGGAGATGCACCAGCTGTGGAGGTGAAGAGCCTGGACCTGCTGGCAGCACTGCCCACCCCTCCTCACAACCAGACTGAGGATGTCAGGTGAGACCCCACTTTGTGGTGACCCCCACAAGTGATGTCAGCCCCTCCATGGGCGACACCAGACCCTGTGGTCCCTGACACCTCCACCCCCCCAGGATGGAGAGTGACGATGAGAGCGACTCCCCCGACAGCATCGTCCCTGCTTCATCCCCCGAGAGCGTCCTGGGCGAGGAGCTGCTCCGCTTCCCGCTTCTCAGCGAGGCCAAGCCAGAGCTGGAGGAGCGTGTGCTGTCCCCCATCATCCCCATCATCCCCCGGGCCAGTATCCCAGGTGGGATGGGCTGGGGGCTGTGTGGATCAGGGCAGGAGTGGTCTGGGGTCATACGGACTGGGCAGGAGGGAGTCTGGGATGTGCAGCAAAGGGAGGGGGTGTGGAGCACATGCATCAGGTAGGAAGGGATATGAACGGGGCAGGATGGGGTTCCTGGTCTAGGAGGGCTGTAAGGGAGCCAGGGGAAGGTGTGGGATGTGAAGGAAAGGGATTTACAGGGTGGTGGATTCCCTGCAGAGATCTGGGGCTGTTGGTGGGGCTGGGTCTACACAGCTCTGAGCCTGGCTCTGACCCCCTGCTCCCCACACCAGTGTTCCCCGACACAAAACCCTATGAGGTCGCAGAGCCCTTTGGGGCTCCACCAGGGAAGGTGGGGTCAGCAGGCCCTGGAGCCCCATGGGAGAAGGGCAAGAGCAGCGAGGTCTCCGTCATGCTGACGGTGTCTGCAGCAGCTGCCAAGGTGAGCGAGGGGATGGGGGGATTTGAGACCCTTGGGGTCCCGGCAGTGACCCAACACAGTGGCACCTGTGGCGCTCTGGACCCATCCTGCCTTCCTCTCACCTAGAACCTCAACGGGGTGATGGTGGCCATGGCCGAGCTGCTGAGCATGAAGATCCCCAGCTCCTACGAGGTGCTGTTCCCCGACGGCCCTGTGCGAGCAGCTGTGGTCGAGGCCAAGAAGGTGGAGAATGATATGGCCGGTGAGTGTTCACCTTGTCCCCATGGCCCCCGGTGCCCCCGGGCTGGGACCCCCGTGACGGGCTGTCCCTCCCTCTCCCAGGAATGCTCGGAGGGAAGGAGAAGGCGCTGGCTGGGAAGGTGCCGGACAGCAGCTCTGAGTGGCTGAAGCAGTTCGATGCGGTGCTGCCAGGGTACAGCCTCAAGGGCGAGCTGGACCTCCTGACGCTGCTCAGACAGGTCAGTGGCGTGCAGGGGTCCCTGCAGGGCTGGGACACTGTGAGGGGGGTACTGGGGTACCCATAGGGCTGTGGCTGTGCGGGGCTGCAGGAACAGACGTGTGTGGTGGTCCCTGTCGGTCACCCCATGATTGCAGGGAGTTTCCTGGGGGGCTGGGTCTCCCCTGGGTCTCCCAGGTAGGAGTCCAGGAGGACCTTGCAGGGTTGGGAACATGTGGGATGCCTGTAGGGCCAAGGACCCCTCTCTGCGATGCACAGGGGGGTTGGGGGTCTCCGTTCCTGTAATGCTCTGATCTGTGCCCCCCCTCCCCACACCACAGGAGAGCCCTGCTCCTGAGAAGACCCTTCACCACTGCTACGTCAACAACGTCTCCAACCTGGACGTGCGGCAGCTCTCTGTCCTGCCCCAGGAGCCCTCGCCCCCGCTGTCCCCCTCCGTCCCCTCCCCATCCAGCCCCGCTGAGCCCACCAGGGTCCCCGACCCCGAGGCGTCCCACGAGGCAGCCCCAGCCCCAATGTCACCGCTGCCGCCAGCCCCCTCGCCAGCCCCCCAGGAGGAAGGGGCCGCAGCCGCCCACTCCCCGCCCCGTTTCAAGCCGCGCTCGCGGCCTCCGGAGGACGGGGACGAGGCGAGGCCGCGGCTGAAGAAGTGGAAGGGGGTGCGCTGGAAACGGCTGCGCTTCCTCGTCACCATCCAGAAGGGAGGGGCCAAGCGTGACGGCGACAAGGAGATCGCAGAGTTCATCGACAAGCTGGGCACCACGCTGCGCCCCGAGAAGGTGCCGCAGGACCTGCGCAAGTGCTGCTTCTGTCACGAGGAGGGCGACGGGGCCACGGACGGGCCAGCCCGCCTGCTCAACCTTGACCTCGACCTCTGGGTCCACCTGAACTGCGCCCTGTGGTCCACGGAGGTGTATGAGACTCAGGGAGGGGCCCTGATCAACGTGGAGGTGGCCCTGCACCGCGGGCTCCTCACCAAGTGCTCCCTGTGCCAGAAAACCGGTGCCACCAACAGCTGCAACCGCATCCGCTGCCCCAGCGTGTACCACTTCGCCTGCGCCATCCGCGCCAAGTGCATGTTCTTCAAGGACAAAACCATGCTGTGTCCCCTGCACAAGCTGAAGGGGCCCTGCGAGCAGGAGCTCAGCAGCTTCACCGTGTTCCGCCGCGTCTACATCGAGCGGGACGAGGTGAAGCAGATCGCCAGCATCATCCAGCGCGGGGAGCGGCTCCACATGTTCCGCGTGGGCGGCTTGGTCTTCCACGCCATCGGGCAGCTGCTGCCACACCAGATGGCCGATTTCCACAGCGTCACGGCCCTCTACCCCGTGGGCTACGAGGCCACGCGCATCTACTGGAGTCTGCGGACCAACAACCGCCGCTGCTGCTACCGCTGCACCATCTGCGAGAACAACGGGCGCCCAGAGTTCGTCGTGCAGGTCATCGAGCAGGGCCTGGAGGATCTTGTCTTCTCTGACTCCTCGCCACAAGGTAAGGAGTTGGGAGATGTCAGCACCCAAGCTTTTGTCCCAGTGGCTGAGGCACACCAGCACACCAGAGAGTGGGGTGGAGGAAGGTGACTTGAGGTCCCCATATTCAACCTGTGGCACTCGGTGCTCTGCTCTGGTGATGAGGTGGTGATTGGTCACTTGGACTCAATGATCTTGGAGGTTTTTTCCAGCCTAATTAATTCTGTGGTTCTCCCTTCCCTTGGCAGCTGTCTGGAACCGGATCATCGAGCCAGTGGCGATGATGAGGAAGGAGGCCGACATGCTGCGACTCTTCCCCGAGTACCTGAAGGGCGAGGAGCTCTTTGGCCTCACGGTGCACGCGGTGCTGCGCATCGCGGAGTCGGTGGGTCCCGGGATGGGCGTGGAGGTTTCTCCTCCATACTGGGGTCCACTCTGCTGGGGAAGGGCCCAGTGGCTCTTCTGCTGCTGCCTCTTGACCCCCGGTCCTTCTGTGTCCCCCTCTGCAGCTGCCGGGCGTCGAGAGCTGCCAGAACTACCTGTTCCGCTATGGGCGCCATCCTCTGATGGAGCTGCCGTTGATGATCAATCCCACCGGCTGCGCCCGCTCCGAGCCCAAGATCCTCACCCACTACAAGCGGTAAGCAGGGCTGGGATCCACTGGGAGAGCCGGGATCCACTGGGAGAGCCGGGATCCACTGGGAGAGCCGGGATTCACAGGGAGAGCCGGGATTCACAGGGAGAGCCGGGATCCACCGGGAGTGCTGGGATCCACCGGGATGGCTGGGATCCACCGGGAGAGCTGGGATCCACTGGGAGAGCCGGGATCCCTGGGGATTCCTCAGCTCTAACCCCTCTCATCCCTCTCCTCGAAAGGCCGCACACCCTGAACAGCACAAGCATGTCCAAGGCCTACCAGAGCACATTCACGGGCGAGACCAACACGCCCTACAGCAAGCAGTTTGTGCACTCCAAGTCCTCCCAGTACCGGCGCCTGAAGACGGAGTGGAAGAACAACGTGTACCTGGCGCGGTCCCGCATCCAGGGGCTGGGGCTCTACGCGGCCAAGGACATCGAGAAGCACACGATGGTCATCGAGTACATCGGCACCATCATCCGTAACGAGGTGGCCAACCGGCGGGAGAAGATCTATGAGGAGCAGGTGGGGCTCAGCTGGGATGCTGGGGGCTCGTGTGGGGACTTGGGCAAGGTGTAGAGGGACCTGGGTGACACGTTGGGGACTCTGGTGGAACGTGGAGGGACTTAAAGAAAGACATGGGGGAAGTCAGATGAAATGTTGGGGGCTGGGATGGGATGTGGGTGGACTTGGGTGGGATGTTGGAGGCTCTGGCAGGACATGGGGGGACTCAGGCAGGATGTGGAGGGACTTGAAAGGGATATCAGAGGTTCTGGGGTTGTTGGGAGCTCTGGTGGGACGTGGAGCAGCTCAGGTGGGATGTGGAGGGACTCGTATGGGATTGGAGGATCTCCAGTGGGATGTGGGGTGGTGGGATATGGGGACCTCAGTGCAGCCCTCAACCCCCTCTTCTCCTCCGTGGCAGAACCGCGGCATTTACATGTTCCGCATCAACAACGAGCACGTCATTGACGCTACGCTGACGGGGGGCCCGGCCAGGTGAGCACGGGGGGTTTGGGGTGGTGGGATGCCCCCAGGGGGAGCCGTGACATCCGTCTGTCCTGACCCCCCTCGTCCCCCAGGTACATCAACCACTCGTGTGCCCCGAACTGTGTGGCCGAAGTCGTGACCTTCGACAAGGAGGACAAGATCATCATCATCTCCAGCCGGCGCATCCCCAAGGGGGAGGAGGTCAGTGAGGGACTGAGGGGGTGCTGAGGGGGTCCTGGGGGACCCAGGGTGGGGGGCTGGAGGTGGCAGGGCTGAGCTCTGTGCTTTGGGTGACTCCTCGCTCCCTCCCAGCTCACCTACGACTACCAGTTCGACTTTGAGGACGATCAGCACAAGATCCCCTGCCACTGTGGAGCTTGGAATTGCAGGAAGTGGATGAACTAACTGGGAAACAGGAGCTGGGGGCTGCCACCCCCGCCTCAGAGACCTCGCCGAGCCCCCCAGGGCTGCAGGAGGTGCCAGGGGCGGCCGGGCACTGAGGGAGAGCAGCGGCTGCAGCGCTGCCGGCCCTGCCCGAGCGGGACGGACGGACAGATGAACTGGCAACTCAGGGTTTTCTTTGCTTCGTCCTGCGAGGAAAAAAAAAAAACAAAAAACAAAAAGGAGTGGGGGGGCTCAGAAATGCCCCCTTCACCACCCCCTGCCTGCATCCCTTGTGGGGGAGCCACAGGGGAGCAGCGCCAGGCCCGACGTGGCCGGAGCGATTGTGCGGAGCCGGTCTGGATATAACGATTATTTTATTTTATTTTATTTTATTTTTTGTTTCTTTTTTTTTTTTTCTTTTTTTTTTCTTTTTTTTTTTTAGAAACTAAAAAAAATTGCTCGCTAATTACCAAGGTAACACAGACTCCTTGAGCTCGACAATCCGGGCTCTGCCCCGCCGGCGTGGCGGCCAGAGCTCGCTCGGTTCCTTTGATCTCTTTTTGTTTGTGCGTGTGGACGAGACCCCGGAGCGGCGGCGGGATGCAGCCAAGACCCCGACAGACACAAGGAGCTTCTGCACCCAAACCTACCTCATTTTAAGTGTTAGATTTGTTTCTTTTTATTTGTTGTTGTTTTTAAATGTGAGCCCCCCTCCATCCCAACCTGCCCCCCACCCCCCCAAGGGGGGGATCTTTCCCTCTCCCTTGGGCTCCAGAGGTTGTGGCTTCCCCGTGTCCCCCTCCTCAGGTGTGGCCCTTCCTCAGGACCCCTTGAAGGGGGGACACGGGGACGCCCCCTCCTCATCCCCCCCCCTCAGGAGGTCCCAGCCGTGTGCCGTGCCAAGGTGTGAGGTGGGGATGGGGAGGGGAGGGGGGGTCAGACCCACTCCCCGAGCTCTGGTGGGGGGCTGGAGGGGCTGGGTGGGGACCCCTCCTTCTCACACGTGGCCCCCACGGCTGGAGGGGCCAGGTGGAGCCCCCCCCTGCTCGCCCTTGGCCCTCCCAGCTGGGGCTGCACTGGAGGGGGAAGGTTATTTATCTATTTATACCTTATATTGTATATACTAGACGGGGCTGGGGGGGGGGCTCTTTGTGCTCTGCTGGGCTGAGATTTGGGGTGCAGGGGCAAAAAAAAAAAGGGGAGGGGGTGGTTTTAAAAAAACCCAATCTCCGAGGCGGGTGTGGGGAGGGGGTCTCTCTCTGGAACCTCCTGCCAGGCAGGGGCGGCCTCGGAGAGCGAAGCAGCGAGTGGGCATTAACACCCCCGGCCCCCGCCCGGGGTCCCCGCCCGCCCCCTCCCCGCTCCGGAGGAGGAACCCGGGGGGCACCGGGATCTCTAAACGCACAAACACGGCACGGGGGAGGGAGGGAGGGAGGGAGAGACCCTCCTGCTCCTGGAGAGGGGGGGTCTGCCGGGGGTGCTGCCCCCTCCCCGCCCCAGTGCAGTGGGGGGCCGGGGCCGATCTTGAAAAGCTGCTTCCGCAAACTCGTCAAAGCTGCAAAAAAAAATAAAAAAAAAAAATAAAAAAAATACAACAAAACAACAAAACAAAAAAATTCAAAAAAAAAAAAAAAAAAGGTTTAAGGTAAAAAATGTTTAAAAAAAATAAAATTTAAAAAAAAAATCCAGAGGAAAAGCGCGAGTGGGGGGGGATGAGAAAGTTTTAACAGAAAATATACGAGAAATTTAACTTTCAGAGCTGTACATAGGCCGGGGCGTGTAGAAATCCCGTTTTTACCAATACCGGAACCACTGGATGTTATTTTAAATAAAGCGCGTGAGAAGCCGAGGCCGCCTGATCCCTCCTGGGGGGGCTCGGGGAGGGTCGGGGGGGGGGCAGGGGACAGCCGTGACCCCCGGTTCAACCGGGGACAGCTCGGTCCTGCTCTGCTGCTCGGTGTCCCCCAGCCCGTCACCTCCAGGGAAGGTCTCTGTCCCACCGCCCCAAAATCGGAGACCCCCGGGACCCTCCCGCGGGTCACGGCCCCCTCCCCTTTCCCGGGGACCCCAAACCCCCGGGGACACCTCCCGCCCCAAAACCCTTCCCCGGGACCCGGCGGGACGGGAAAGCGCTCCCGGCAGCCGAGAGTGACGGGGGCGGCGCTGCTGGGACCCGAACCGGGCCCGGCTGGTTCCGGGAACCGGGCGGAAGCGGGACGGGAACCGGGCGGAAGCGGGACGGGAACCGGGCGGAAGCGGGGCAGGAAGCCCCGAGGAACCGGGAGCAGGAACCGGGCGGAAGCGGGACCCGAACCGGGCGGAAGCGGAGCCGGAAGCCCCGAGGAACCGGGAGCAGGAACCGGGCGGAAGCGGGAGCAGGAACCGGGCGAGCTCGGGGCCAGAGCCGGGCGGAAGCGGGGCAGAGGCGCCTCGGGACGCAGCGGGACCCATGGAGGTTGTGGGAGGGACAGCGGGGCTGGGGGGACACGGGGGCTCGGGGGCCGCGGCCACGTCTGAGCCGACCCCGGTCTGTCCCCAGGATCCCGGCCCCGACCCTGACCCCGGCCCGGCCGCCGGGAGCCCGGCGGAGCTGAGCCCCCCGGGGCTGGAAGGTGATTCCGAGGGTCCCGGCACAGGAGGGTCTGGGTGTCCCCGGGGCTGCAGCTGCTCGGGGGATCCTGTCCCGGAGTTGGGGTGTCCCGGAGCTCTGAGCCGGGTGGCGCAGGGTTTGGGATGCCCCGTTATTGGGGATATCCCGGAGTCAGGGGTGTCGCGGAGCCGTGAGCTGGGTGTCCCGGAACTGGGGCTGAAACGGGATTTGGGGCATTTGAGGGTTTGCGGTGTCTCGGGGTTTGGGGTACCCCAGGTATTGGTGTGTGCCGGGATTTGGGGCGTCAGAGGATTTTGGGGTGTCCCGGGATTGGGGGTGCTACAGGATTTGGGGTATCTGGGATGGGGGTGTCCCGGGACTGGGGGTGTCCCGAGTTTTGGGGTGCTCCAGGTTTTGGGGTTCCCCCTCACGCTGCCACCCCAGGGGACACCCACCGCGGTGCCTACACTGCCTTCATGAAATCCCATCGCTGCTACGACCTGATCCCCACCAGCTCCAAATTGGTCGTCTTCGACACATCCCTGCAGGTGTGCCAGGGCCGGGGGGGCACTTTTGGGGCCGGGGAGGCACTTTTGGGGCTCCCTGACCCCCGTGCCTGCAGGTGAAGAAGGCATTCTTCGCGCTGGTCACCAACGGTGTCCGTGCAGCCCCGCTCTGGGACAGCAAAAAGCAAAGTTTTGTAGGTGAGCGAGGGGGCTGGGGGTCTCCAGGGGTTGAGGGGGGCTGGCAGGACCCTCCTCACCCTGCCTGCCCCCCAGGTATGCTGACCATCACCGACTTCATCAACATCCTGCACCGCTACTACAAATCACCCATGGTGAGGGCCAGAGTCTGCCAGGGGCTCATGTCGGGCTCTGCCTGCCCCAGCTGACCCTGGCTGGGTGATCTGGGTTTCTCCTCCTCCTCACAGGTGCAGATCTATGAGCTGGAGGAACATAAAATAGAGACGTGGAGAGGTGAGGGGGGGGGTCAGTGCCGGCTGCCTCCTGCCCTTCCCTGGAGCCCCCCATCCCCTCACCCCTCCCTCTCCCCACAGAGGTTTATCTGCAAGACTCCTTCAAGCCACTGGTGTGCATTTCCCCCAATGCCAGGTACCCCAGGGGGCAGGGAGAGGGGCACAGCTGGTGGTGGCACTCCCTGGAACACCCCAAATCCCCCCTCCCTTCCCCCCCACAGCCTGTTTGATGCCGTCTCCTCCCTGATCCGCAACAAGATCCATCGCCTGCCCGTCATCGACCCCGACTCGGGGAACACGCTCTACATCCTCACCCACAAACGCATCCTCAAGTTCCTCAAGCTCTTTGTAAGTCTCTGCCCCTTGGTGATGGTGGGGGCCAGACTGGGACCCTCAGCCTGGGCCAGGGGTCACGCTGGGACCCCCAGCCCGGGCTGTGCCTGGTACCTGTTCCAGCTGCTACCCCAGGATGTTCATCCTGGGCTGTACCGGGGGCCACCGTGGGACTCAGCTGTGCCAGGGGTTGCCCCAGGACCCCCACACTGGGCTGTGCCAGGTCCCTGAGCCAGCTTCTACCCTGGGACTCCCAGTCCAGGCTGTACCAAGTGCCAGCCCAGGCTGTGTCAGGTGCCTGTGCCAGAGGCTGCCCTGAGACCCCCATCTCAGCCACAAGGTGCCCCAGAAGTGTCGGCCCAGACTGCTCCAGGGGTCACTGAGACCCCCAGCCTGGGCTGTGCCCGATACCTGCACACCAGGTACCACCAGCTCTGGGTGGGCACAGCTCTGGTACCTCACCACACACTGCAGTGCCAGAGGACGCCGTGTGGACCCTCCCCACCACTCCTGCCCGGGGGTCCCACAACCCCCCTGCTCTGCAGCACAGCTCCCTGTGCTTTCACCCCCAGAACCCCCAGGTCTGGGCTCAGCCCTGTCCCCTCACCGTCCCCCACAGATCGCAGAGGTCCCCAAGCCTGAGTTCATGGCACGGACGTTGGAGGAGCTGCAGATCGGCACCTACAGCAACATCGCCGTGGTTGGCACCAGCACCCCCATCTACGTGGCCCTGGGCATCTTCGTGCAGCACCGCGTGTCTGCGCTGCCCGTGGTCGATGACTCGGGTAAGGATGTCCTGTCCTCGCTTTGGCTGTCCCCAGGTCACCTCCTTGGGGGCTGTGTCCCCTCTGGAGCGCCAGGGGCTTGGCTGAGCTGCTCCCCTCCCTCCCCAGGGCGGGTGGTGGACATCTATTCCAAATTCGACGTTATTGTGAGTACTGGTGGAGGAAATTCCTGGGCTGGGGGGATGCTGTGGGGTGGTGGGGCGTCTCCTAATCCCAGCTGTGTCCCCAATGCTTGTCCCTGCCCCAGAACCTGGCAGCTGAGAAGACCTACAACAACCTGGATGTGACGGTGACGCGGGCGCTACAGCACCGCTCCCACTACTTCGAGGGTGTCCTCAAGTGTTACAAGCACGAGACGCTGGAAACCATCATCAACCGCCTGGTCGAGGCTGAGGTAACTGTCCCAGGGTGCTGGGGGGTCGGGGGGGGACCCGGGGTCCCCACACCCCCTCAGCCTCTCCTTGTGTCCCCCTCCCCAGGTCCACCGGCTGGTGGTGGTGGATGAGAGTGATGTGGTTAAAGGGATCATCTCCCTCTCGGACATCCTGCAAGCCCTGGTCCTCCCGCAGGGCCCCTGAGGCAGTGAGGGGGGGGGGGGGGTCGGTCCTCCCAAGACCCCCACTCTCTTCTCCTGTAACACTGTGCCCCCCTGGGCTGGTGGGGACACCCGGGGCATGCCCCCACTCACCAGCAGCCTCCAGCAATAACCCCCAGCCCTGGGGCAGTCCCTGCTGTCCTTCCCTGCGTGGGGGGAGTCAGCAGCCCCCCCACGCCATGCCCTGCACCCCAAAGCCGTGTGGGGTGATGGGGGCAGCCCTCGACCCCCCTGGGGTGCCAGGCCAGGGTCACCCATATCCATGCCAGGGCTGTTCCTGTGTGGACTCTTGTCCCTGTCACCCTGCACCCTCTCCCTGGGTTTGGTGAAACCCACTCAGCTCCACCCGGCCCGGGAACCCCCCCACGCCCCCGGGGGTTTCCCCCCAAGTTCCCTGGCTGTGCCCACACCTGCCACCGCTTCGTGAGTGAAGAGAAACCACAAATAAACACAGACCTGGCACCACCCTGGCTCAGTGCAGGGCACGGGGGGCATTGGCCAGGGAGGGGCTGTGTGGGGAGGGGGTGTGGCCCCCCCCGTGGGAAGGGGGAATCTGCTGAGCTCGCCCAGACCCTAAATCCCTGTTTGTTCCGCCTGTGGCTTTTCTAAAAGGCCGGGATAGGGGATGGGACAGACACAGGGACCTGGTGGGACATGGAGACCCTCTGGTGGGCACCAC